CACAACTCGTATTTGTACAGCGATCTTCACGAGACCAGCATCTTGGAACATTTAAAATACTCAAATGTCTCGGTTTTAGCTTTGCACGACTCATCATTTTATACATTTTCCTAAACATTACACAAATTTCCACGGTTCCTTTAAAGTGTGACCCCCATCTATGCCTGGTTTAAATACATGATTTCAGGTTGTTTTAGTATGTGTGGTTGTAGCGTCCAGTGTTAACATCTAGTGTTAACTCTAACCAGCTGAAGACAAATTTACCCTCTTTTTTTCTCCCTGTTTTGCATTTTGAGGGAAGGAAGGGGATATACATTTGCTATTTCATATGAGATAGAACAGTGAATATCAATCAGCAGCAGTGTGCGGCCCATAAAATAGTTGGCTAGTTCTGACAATTGGGCATTAACAATATTTCCCAACTTACATTTTGTCAACGAGTTGATCATTTTAGGGAAAGAGACAGCACAAAGCATAACCAGGGACTTGTATTGAACTTCTGGCAAATACAGAGCTCAAAGGGTTGATGTAGAACTTGGAGTTGCTTCTCCATTTACAGTTTGTTGCTACTTCCCTAAAATACCTGGTGTGGGAACACTGACACATCCTGGGGAGATGAGAAGAAAGAGAAGGGGAGGGAGAGGTTTCTGTTTCTAGTTGCAAACTGCAGTCAAAGCAAATAAACCCAAATTAATCTTCACCAAAAAAGGCTGTTAAAAGTTTTTAAACCATGGGATGGATTATTGGGTCAGAACAGGGATCAGTTGTATGTTTGTTTTGGCTTGGGTGTCATCCCGACTCAACAGCGTTGCTAAGCGAGGGTGGGTGACTCCTGTTTGAGGATTGCTGTTGGCTGTGGTAACTCAGGGCAAGCCCTGGCTTCACTCACTGCAGGACGTGACCTCATTGCGTCCTAGTCCCCACCCTGGCCGATCACTGCAGGTGCTGTTTGTGTCACCTTCTGGAACTCCATCCCACCGGATCCAACTTGGGAAATTCCCGCTGGACGTCACCACTAGGAAAGTTTGGCTCCTCTTCCCAACACAGCCCGGCAGATATTCATCCTTATATTTTGCGTTTAACCTACGAAATATACAGTGAAATCACTTTACCGTATATTCTGTGAAGTGCTTTGAGATGTCTTGAAGACGTGATAAGGCACTGTATCAAATGCAAGGATTAGTATTATTATATCATCCCATTGTTTTCCCCATAATTCCTCACCTCCAGTTAACACTCACTTACACAAAAGCTGATCGACCTGAAATGTTGACTCGCTTTCCTCTCTCCCCGTAGATGCTGCCTGACCTGGTGAGTGTTCCCAGCGACGTCTGTTTTTATTTCGGATTTCCAGCATCTGCGGTATTTTGCCTTTCGCTTACAAGTTCACCTTGTTTCATGTAATGAAAAGCGAGCTCTAGATTTACACTGAATGGTGACGTTCAAGCTCATCTGCTAAGCCTCTGTGATGGAAACCACGCAATTTAGTTTATGAGTGGCCTTTAGTTTATGAGAACTGTGGACATGTACATTTTAACATGATGAGTAAAATAACAGGATATAGAAAATATTCAATCAAGTATCTTATAACCCCCCACCACTCCCCAGCCACACTCTTAGGGTTTAGACCAGTTTACCCGGCTGGTCTGCCCCCACCCTCTGGAACTCCATCCCACAATCCCTCCGCCTCGCCCCCTCCCTTGCCTCCTTCAAGACCCATCTCAAGACTCTCCTCTTCGACCGTGCCTTCAGTCACCCTCCTATCCCCGCCCTCCACCCCTCCTGAGCCCAACCACCAGCTCGGGTGTGGATCCCTGACTGTCCAGCGCCTTGGAACGTCCTCCTGACATGAAAGGCACTGTACACATGCAATTTGTTGTTGTTGCTCCTAACATTTGCTCTCTGATGGAAATGTGTTCTGTCCGCTGGGAGCTTGTGGCCATCAGGGGCAGCTGTCTATCAGGAGCCCAAATGGGAGGATCAAAACTGCTGAGAAGCATTAATAGGATCAAAGCTTTCAAGCTGCTGCCTTGCCCCCATTCCGCAGGAAGCTTCCTGCACGTTTCAGTTACAGATGTTCTGCCTGAGGTCATGCCGGATGTACTGTAGTTTTATAATTAGAAAGTTATGGATTGAGCCAAGCAGTTTTATTTTTACAGATTGCAAGTGCAGGCTTGGCTGATGTACTGTACGCGCCTTTTACATCCTGCAATTACTATCTGGGCATCTCGATTCGCATCAACATAGGAATCAACAACTCAATCACCAATTAAAACAAGATGTAATCTTTTATACGAGCAAGGCCTACACCACTTAACAGCTGATATTTATATTGTAACTGCTTTGTAAATATGTGGAAATAGATATGAACAAAGGCTGCTAAATTGACATGACTCTAGTTTGGTTTTGATGAAAATTAGTTTGACAGAACTACCCACACTGAAGACATATGCCACAGTGACAGCTGCAAGGTTGCCTGTTATTAAGGGGAGTGGGGTGGGGTGGTGAGAGAATACTTTAGTGACCTCCAGATGAGGATGTGTATTGTCAGTGCTGGGGAAAGGCTATCGTTACAACTTGTTAGAAAGTACATGATTTGAATTGAAAGCAAGATTTCAGGGTATTACAGGGTACATCAAGGTATCCGTGGCCATTTCACACAAGCCTCAAGTATATATAATAATGATAATAATAATCTCCTTGGATTTGATGTAGTGCCTCTCAAAGTGCTTCATAGAATATACTGTAAAGTGGATTGACTATATTTTGGGGGCGAAATACAGGAACCAATTGTGCAAAGCAGTGTCCCACAAACAGTCCTGGATTGAGTGACCAATTTATTATTGTGGAGTCCTGTAGCTCAGTGGTTAGAGCATTCGCTTTGCAAGTGAGAGACCTGAGTTCAATTCCAGGCAGAGGGCGAAACCTTGGGCAAGTTTCCTTACTCCACACAGAGCCTAATAATAATCCCTCCAAAACCAAAAAAACAATAATTAAATTGGTCATTTTCAATCTACGACTGTTTGTGGGATATTGCTGTGAGCAATTGGCTGCTGCGTTCACCCACAAATATACAGTCAATTCACTTTACAGTGTGTTCTGTGAAGCGCTTTAGGACGTCCTCCCGACGTGAAAAGCGCTATATCAAATGCAAGGATTATTATTATTATTATTATTATTTTTGAAGGAATTACATAAGCAGCTGTTATCGGCGTTCTTGTCAATTCACCTCACAGTATAATCTGCGAAGCGCTTTGAAGATGTCTAGAAGACGGGAAAAGCGCTGTATCAATCGCAAGGATTACGTGTTCTCAGAATCTGTAGAAATTGCCAAACTCCAGTGTGAATGTCTGAAGAGATCGGAGGATTCTCATTGCATTTGAGCTCCACCTGCTGACAGTTTACAGAATGTCAATGACAAAGGCAGCTCTTGTGGGTGGAAAGTCCCGTGGGATGGAGGTACACCTGAACAGGAAAAGCACGACTTGGGCTCGTCAACTTTCAACGGATAAACACAGCAAACGTCGCAGTTTATGGGCGTCAAAAGGATGACAGAGGTTTTACAGTAATCATTTGCGGAGATGGTTTAAATGTGTGTTATGGATACACAGTACAGGTTTTCTGTAAACTAACTGCCCCAATAATGGACATGATTACTGTGACACCGACAATCTTCGATAATTTTGGTGCTGTAATCTGTCTAAAGGCAGATGCAATCCTCATTAAAATGTTTGAGAGGATTCTCAGATTGCACCTACAAAGAGTTTCGTAAATATTGACAGTAGTGCTGACGTAATTAGTTACGAGATAAAACCTTAAAATGTAACCATGTTATTACTGTTTCCTAAATGATTAAATAAACTGACAATATTATTATTGCAGGATTATTGAAAACCAGCACTAGATGGGGCAAGTGATCACGTGCTGGAATTGGAAACACTTCATGAAACGGGTGTCAACATTTGAATGGGGTGAAATAGGACAAAGTAGGTGTGACACGGTATCTCTTGCAGAGCTATGAATGAGTAATTACAGTCATTTTACTGGAGGGCAAACGTTATGATTAATGTGCTAAAAATTCCAGAAAAAAACATATTTATGTGGTTGCTTGAAATACATATTTGATGAAGTATTAATATATTTAGTACTTTTCATGTCAAAGATAATCCTAGAGTCCACTGATTAAAATATTTATGAATACATAATACATATTCATAGTCCAAGAGAAGTCTTGGGTATAATTCAGGGATGTAGATTTGAGTTATTAAAAGGATGTCAGATCATACCAGCTCAGATGTTCCCAGAGTCAGTGCCTTGGGACATCCTCCCGAACGTGAAAGGCGCTATACAAATGCAATTTTGTATTGTACACCCAGTGCCCCAGTGGATGCGGTGGGGATGGGATAATGGGAGCCATGTCCTACCCAACCATCCTCACAAATAGGAAATCACTGGAAAGAACACAGTCTGTGATCTGGCACCACATTTAAAATAATAATAAATAATAATCCTTGCATTTGATACAGCGCCTTGTCTCATTACCGAGATATCTCAGAAAATTGGAGATATACTGTAAAGTGAATTGACTGTATATTTTGTGGACGAGATCTTTCTACTCAGTTTCCAAGATTTCAGAGAGTCATGTAACTGCAAAGAATAATCACATTAGTTTAGCCTGGTTAGTACATGAGCAGCAAATAAAACCGATGTGTCTCTACATTCTACAATCATCTCTCATTAAAACCAGACCAGAGATGACTGCAAACGTTCTAGTTCCATTCATCTTTGGCAAAGACATTACACATAATATGATTGCTGGATTATCAAGCTATGAAAGTATTTTAAAAATACAGAGCTGCATAAACAGCCCTTCTTAACTCTGTGGTGGAATTAATGTGAGCCTTGGAAAAACAAATTAAACCAGTTGGCTGTCTCTAGGTCAATGAGGGATTACCGAGAAAGACAAGTCTAATTCAGACAAGTCTATCAATGTAAAATTT